CCAAACAGGAAACAAGGATTGACCAGAGTAGCTTTTCACATAAATAACATAAGCAATAAGTCATCTTTAGTAACCAAGTTTGAGCCAGGGACCAGACCTATGAGAAATAAAACAATCCGGTTTTATTATAAGTAAATTGATTTAAGTGGGAAGCAGGGGGTGTTGGGATTTTTCTTATCTCTCATTCAATTTCGGGAATTTTAGGCACCTCCCGAAGATTGTAAGATGAAAGGCCCCATCAGGGCTGGACACCAAGGGAATATTGCAGTCGAGGTAGGATACAATATATAAAAATGGAAAATTTACACCGGCCACGTGGCAGGTCTTTGTGTGCAAAAGAACCCCCCTGTACAGTACAGGGGGGTACGTCATCAATCAATCAGGCGGGAGGGTGACACCCTCTCCCAGGTTTGAAAAATTACCTTTTAAGGTAAAATACCCGTTACCTGCTGAATATTCAACATCTTAGGTGGCCAAAGGGTACAAAGGGAGAGCGCTTTTCGAACCAGGCGTGCTTTTCCAGGCGGGTGGCTTGGGACTGCACCCAGCACTGCAAGAAAGGATTCTTTTCTGTAAGTTTCCTTGTCCTGCAAGTGGGTTTTTTTGCTGTTTTATAAATTGGGAAAAGAGATTTTTCTCACAATTTTGGGCCTCGCCCGGGATCCAACGCCCGGCGGCCCTGGGCTGGGGGCCAACATCCAGGAAGGCGTGCGCCCTACCCAGCTTGGCAGTCGGAGGACGGGACCCCCCGGTTCAGGGCGGCTGCGGAAAAGGACCCAGGAAACACGGTTGCAGAACAAGGAAAGCAGAAGAAGAGCCGGCTGGCATATAGGATTTAAAAAGACCGTGGCAACACACGAGCCACAGGAGCCTGGTAAGGGAATCATTTAAGCCTAAGGGGGTGGACTGGGGTCCCTTGGGGGGCGGATTGGGGTCCCTTGGGGGGGCGGATTGGGTTTCGGGAGAGTGCGTGAGAGTGACTGAGACGTGCCTAAAGGTGCGAAGCAAGAGGGAGTCTTTTTAACTGTGTTTCCACGTCTCTCATGAGAGGACTGGCCAGTGAAGAGACGAAGTGATTGGTGAGACGTAAGACTGAGAACTCCTGTGGAAGAGAAAGGGGGGAGAATAAAAATTGGAAGGGGTTAGTCTGGGGTAACTTGCAATAGGAATTTGATACGTTCTCAGCACGGACGGGAACGGGGCAAAATAAGCGCCGTGTGTGTCCCGGTGGGGCAGGGGCAGTGAAACGGTTGCTGTCTTTGTTTAAAAGGGTGCCCATGTGCTCCAACAGGGCGGAGGCGGTGACAGAGGCGGTGACGGAGGGAGCTCGGCAGCACCATGGCAGAGGAAGTCCAAAAGCATTCTGTGCACACACTTGTGTTCAGGTCTTTGAAGAGAACCCATGATACGTTTGTAGCTGATAATGCCAAGCCCATCCCATTAGATGAAGAAAGTCACGAAGTGAAAATGGCAGTGAAGCTGTGTACAGAGTACGGCTCAGCGTTGCACAAGCTGACTCTCAAAGAGAACTTCAGAGAGAAAGGAGGTGCGAACACCGGGGATCCATATGGACACAAACAGTACTCTGGAAATCAAGGACAAGAAGTTGAGTATATGGTAACTGGTACACACCCATACCCACCTGGGCCTGGTGTGGCTTTGACAGCAGATACTAAGGTCCAGAGGATGCCTAGTGAATCTGCAGCCCAGTCCTTGGCTGTAGCACTTCCTGCTTCTCAGTCCAGGTTGGATGCAAATCGAACAGCTGCTGGTGTGGGTGATGTTTACAGGCATGCTGGAATATCTGAGTGTTCACAGCCTCCTGGGATGTCCGTGGCCATGCTGGAAGCTGGTGGAAACAAAAATTCTGCATTAATGCCAAAGAAGGCTCCAACCATGCCCAAACCCCAGTGGCATCCACCTTGGAAACTGTACAGAGTTATCAGTGGTCACCTGGGCTGGGTGAGATGTATTGCAGTAGAACCAGGAAATCAGTGGTTTGTTACTGGCTCTGCTGACAGAACCATAAAGATTTGGGACCTTGCTAGTGGCAAATTGAAATTGTCTTTGACAGGACACATCAGTACTGTACGAGGGGTGATAGTAAGTGCAAGAAGTCCATACCTTTTTTCCTGCGGAGAAGACCAACAAGTGAAATGCTGGGATCTTGAGTACAATAAGGTTATCAGACATTACCAGGGTCACCTAAGTGCTGTCTATGGTTTAGACTTGCATCCAACAATAGATGTACTGGTAACATGTAGCAGAGATTCAACAGCACGAATTTGGGATGTAAGGACGAAGGCCAGTGTGCACACACTATTGGGACACACAGATGCAGTAGCGACAGTGAAGTGCCAAGCTGCAGAACCACAAATTATTACAGGCAGTCATGACACAACCATACGGCTCTGGGATTTAGTGGCAGGAAAAACTTGTGTTACTTTAACAAATCACAAGTAATCTGTAAGAGCAGTAGTGCTGCATCCAAGACATTACACATTTGCATCTGGTTCTCCAGATAATATTAAGCAGTGGAAATTCCCAGATGGAAACTTCATTCAGAACCTCTCAGGCCACAATGCTATTATCAACACACTGGCTGTAAATTCTGATGGTGTTCTGGTCTCGGGAGCTGATAATGGTACTATGCATCTTTGGGACTGGAGAACTGGATACAACTTCCAGAGAGTTCAAGCAGCTGTACAGCCAGGTTCTTTGGACAGTGAATCAGGAATATTTGGTTGTGTTTTTGACCAGTCAGAAAGCAGATTGCTAACTGCTGAAGCTGATAAAACCATAAAAGTATACAAAGAAGATGATACTGCGACTGAAGAAACTCATCCTGTCAGCTGGAAACCAGAAATTATCAAGAGAAAACGATTTTAATGCGGCAACATACTACTTCTGTAATTTTGTTTTGGCCTCCTGAGAGGACTATTGAGTATTATGGACCGGCCACATGGGCACAAGATGGTACGTGGGGTTACCGTACACCTATTTATATGCTCAGTCGAATCATACGACTCCAAGCTGTAGTGGAAATAGTTATAAATCAGACTGCAAAGGGATTACAACTAATAGCTGAACAACAGCGCCAAAGTAGAGCAGCCATATACCAAAACAGATTGGCCCTAGACTATCTTTTGGCAGAGGAAGGAAAATTTAACACCTCAGACTGCTGCTTACAAATTGATGATAATCATGAAGCTGTAATGGAAATAGCCTCCAACATCTGAAAAATCGCCCATGTCCCTGTTCAAAAGTGGCATTGTACAGGCAATTATCTCTGTACTTACTGTTTCTCCCAGGGCACTTCATGTCCCCCTGCCTTCGCCAGAGTTGCCCATCTATTCCAGTATCTAACAAATGCAGGCACAATTGTGACATTTTCTCCATAGTCTGGTACACAACCATTAGAGAAATAAAGCCTTTTGCTTCTGAACTTCTGAAATGGCCTTTTACTGAATGCCACATACTAGAGGCTCTGCAAGTCAACACGAAGCATTACAAGAAATACTTAAATCACATTTTATTTTTCAAGTTCAAAAATAACAATTAGCTTTATTTAACATGTTACACGTATCAGATTTAAAATATCATGCTCTATTTAAATATCTGAATGACAACACTATACAAATAAAATGTTACACAAAATAGATTTAAGAAAATGTTTTGGTCTTCCATCTGAACAATAAATAGACAGGCACTTCTACATGTACAAAGAAAGCAACCACTATTTAGAAGAATTCTTAGAAGCAAGATGTGGAAATACAGAAGAT